AAAATAATATATAACAATTAATTACCATATTTTTAAACCATTGAACAAAATTATTTTTTCGCAATCTTTGTAGTTGTTCATGTGACAAATTTGCACCAACTTCTTCCTCAAATTTACTGTAAAATAACATTTATTTATTAATTAAAACGTTATGAAAATCATATAGGCTATTAAACATTGTTTAGTTCTTATTTTCCTAAGAAGTAAAACTTACGTTACCAAAACATCAACCTCCTTGCAATTTAGCAAGACATATAGTTCAGCTGTATCTTTCTCCACCAATGTTAAACATCGTGTACGTGAGTGAGCCCTTATTGGTTCACCAAGGGAACAAAATACTGATAACTTACCTGGGACGTTGGTTCCAATGCCACCATAGTTCCTTAGAGGCTGATTCCAGCTTGTCTCAACATCATCCCCAAAATAACGAGAGCAAAAGTGGGATATCTCATATAATATAAATGCCTCAACAATTGATGCCTCGACATGATTTTTATGCCCTATGGTACTCTTAAGTTTACACATGCGCCTGAAAAGAAATACTGATAAGATTAATTTACAAAAAAGTAATCAAAAGTAAGTTTTAAAATTATCAATCAATTTCTTTATATGTTTTACCTTTCAAATGGGTACATCCAACGAAATTGAACAGGACCACCAACTCTAGCCTCATATGGAAGATGAATTGCTAAATGTTCCATAGAATCAAAGAATGCTGGGGGGAATATTATTTCTAACTTACAAATTATTTCAACAATCTTTGCCTCCCACTTCTGCATCTCAGTAACTTTAATGACCGGGGAGCAAAGTGAACGAAAGAAGTTACTAATGTCGGTCAAAGGACCCCAAATAGCAGATGGCAATAAATCGCGAAAAGTAACTGGAATTAGTCGTTGCATGAAAACATGACAATCATGACTTTTCATCCCAAATAACCTGGACTCATTCAAGTTGACACATCTTGATATGTTGGAAGCAAACCCATCTGGAAAGTGCAACTGTTTTAGCCATGCACATAGAAACTTTTATTTTTCAGATGTCAGTGCATAACTAGCATTAGGTTTCACAAGCTTATCATGCGTATTATATCCCATGTGCAGTTTTCTTCGGTCACAATAAATGGCTAAATCCAATCTTGCTTTCCCATTGTCTTTTGTCTTATTGTCATTCATAACAGTGTGTATTATATTATCAAAGAAATTTTTCTCACAGTGCATTACATGAAGATTATGTCGAATAAGATTATCATGCCAATAAGGAAGTTCCCAAAAAATGCACCTTTTCACCCAATTATGGATGTTCCCAAAACCCTCAATTGTTTGGTTTTCAAAAGGTTTCCCAAACAACACATCAGGAAGGTTTTCAACTCGGTGGCGCATTGAAACACCATCCAATCGAGGAGGGGGACTGCCTAATTCAACCTGACCCTTCAAGAAATTACTTTGATCAAATCTGAAACAATGTGATTCTGGTAAAAACTGACGAT